TGTTTTTTTTTTTTTTTTTTTTTTTTTTTGTACCGTGGATCCAACTCAGGTTCTTGTGTTTGCAAGACAGGCAGCAGAACCACTAAGCTAAATCCCTGGCCCTGTGGTTCTAGCTTTTACCAGGTGACCTGGGCATCTGAGCTTAGGTAACAGGTAAACCTCTGTCTCTCCTGGGGAGCTTCCTAACCTCTCGGCTGCCTCCTTGTCCCCTGCTTGGCACCTCCACTCTTCCATTATCTTTGAGACCAGTTCCTTGCATCATAGTATCTTCTGAACACTTCTAATTTCTATTTACTATTAGAGCCTTATTGGTTCAGTGCCACTGCCACTGGCTTCATACAGCTCCCTAATAAGCATTTCCCTCAGCATTTTTTTTTTGTTTTTTTTTTTTTTTTGGTACTGGGGATCAAACTCAGGACCTAGGCTTGCGAGGCAGGCACTAGAACCACTGGGCTACATCCCTGGCCCTCCCTCAGCCTTTGATGGGACTGTGGGACCCTAAGGGGTCTGATATATCATCATACTGCCAGCAGGCTGGAGCAAATGCTTTGAACCTGCAGCTGTAGGACATACATAAAAATATCTCTCATCTACTCCGAAGTTACTATAAATATTAAATTTTAATGAAAACATTTTGCAGTGCTGGGGATGAAAATGTTTCATAAACACTATAGTTACACTCCTCGTTCATGGTGACATAATTACTTCAGAACTCCAAGCTCCACAGTTATTAGCTGTGTAGCCTCAGACAACTTAATCTCTCTGAGGTGAATCATGAGAGAAAGGAATAGTCTGTGCCTTTGGAGACTATTACAGATGTTTTAAAGTTTGAGTGAGATGACTGTATAAATTGTTTGACAGGCACCAGGATATTCACTGGGCCCAGTAACTGTTCGCTTCCCCTTCATCTTAGTGGGAGTGGTAAGCGAGTTACATAACATCCATCTCAACCACTCTGGATTCCTCAGCTCCAAGATGAGAGTGACCATGCCAGTGTGACAATTGAATATTCAAATATACATGGAACACTTTTTTTAAATATACAAGGTCAGAGAGTTATTATTTTGAAGAGAGGCTCCCCTGAAATTATATCCTTTGCCCTGCAACGGACTGGGTGGGCCACTGTCACCCATGCCCCTGGGCAGGTGGGTGGCACACTGGGTGCTCGTGCAGTCATTCGGGACTGATGCGGGACATGGTGATTCCGCAGGGACCTTATCAGGTGCCCACTTTGTTGCTTGGGGAGGGAGGGGGTGGTACACAGCTCCCTGTGCTGAGTGAGTGAGCCCCATGACTGCCCAGAACAGAAGCGATATTAATGCCGGACACACGTACTGGACTTGTGTCCTGCCTTTGCAAATAGGGTAGGACCCAGTAGCCTGGCTTTGAAGCCTGGCTTCACTATTTGCCCCCTAGAACTTGAGTGTGTTGCACAATCTCTTGCTCCTCTAGAAGTGAAGGTGAAAGAAGTAGCTTCTTCACAGGGTGGTTGGAAAAGTCAAACGGATGCATTTATGTAAGGTGATTAGAGTAGTAACAGGTACATAGAAAGCACTCCATTAGTTGATATTAATATTTTCCTCTTTGAGATAGGATCTTGTTAAGTTTTCCGGGCTAGCCTTGAATTTGCCATCCTCCTGCCTCAGGCTCCCATGTCGACGTATTACATACAGGCCTGTGCCATCACACTTGGCTTTAATATTTTCTTACAGTGAGAAATCAATCAGGCTTCCCAAACCAACACGTACAGTGTAGCCACCATCTCAGTGGCCACAAGAAACTGGCCTTGAAGAGGACTTGCAGTCCCATAGCAAGATGCATTCTCACGAGATCTCTCTGGGGACCCCACCTGACCAAGGTTTCTAGGACATGTTAAAAATGTTTGTGACCCTAACTGACTGGACACACAGCTAACTGGAGATGGGGTAAAGGAAGGCTGCTCTATTTCCATCCAACAAGAAAATCCATCAAAATGTCAAATTTTATCCAGGCATGGGGGTGCGTGCCTATAATAAAGGCTCATCAGGAGGCTGAGGGAGGAGGATCACAGGTTTCAGGCCAACCTGGGCAACGTACCAAGACCTGGTCTCAAAAGGAAATTGAGAAAGAAATGAAAAAAAGGACTGAGAATGTAGCTCAGTGATGGAGGCCTGGCCTAGCACGTGCAAGGTCCTGGGTTCAATTCCCAGCACAAAAAATAAAACATATAGAGATGTTAAATTTTGAGAACCAATACTGTGTTCACATAGGTGCATTATTCTTTGCAGAAATAGAAAACTAGTTAAATAAATTCAAATAGAGCTCCCTAGAGAGCTAGAATGGTTTTATCACTTCCACCTCTCAGGTCTAAATTTTCACAGTGGTTCACATGAGAGGTTATGGACAGGGACACCATGAAAACAGTTGGTGCCCACCTGCAGGAGACCTGGTTTAAGGCAGCAGGAGCCAGCTTTTCTCCAGGAGGCCTTCCCAGACGGAGCTCTCATCCCTCCTGCTGGCTATAGCTGTTCGCACTCCTTTCATTAGAGCAAAACCAGGTCTTACTCCAAGCCCTCTTTTCCCATCAGTGCTTATACATACAATACACGGGACAGATATAGCTACAGTCCTGACCCCACAGACTTATGGTTGGGAATGGGATTAAATACACTGTTTCATTGTAACCACAGTAAGTTAGTCATGAAAGCACAGAAGTTTATACACATATCATGGTGAGCTCGCTGTGGATTAGGGGCCCACTGTGTGGAAGTAACCTGCAGGCTGGGAACTGTGAGATGCATAGAGACCCATTGGCTAACGCAGGAGAATGCCCAGGCAGAAGCAGCAGCAGGTACAGAGCACCTGGCCTGGGAATGACCAGGCTTTTGAGGAAATAGGAGATGGCCAGTGAGGAAGTGGGTGTGGCTGGCAGGGCAGGTAGAAGCTGGGTGGTAAGACCCGGATCATCTGGGTGGGTGAAACGCTCAGTGAATGAAGACTTGTGAGCAGGGGATTCAGTGATACAGAATGCTCAGCACGGGCTCCCCAGACAGCCTCCATCACATCCAGAGCCTCGATCTCCCTTCTGCTGGTGACTGCCAGATTCATGTTGCTCCATGCCAGCTTCCTGCTGAGCTCCAGACCCCCGTGTCCAGTTGCCCAGAGGAGAGCTTGCTCATGCAAGAGGAGACTGGTGAGTGGACAAATGTGTGAGCGCCCATCCAGCTCTGGAATTATCCGACTTTCAGAGTTTATAGAGAGGAAGGTTACTCGGGAGGAGGAGGTACAGTTGAGCTCAGCCTGAAGGTCTTCCTCTGGGGCCTGGGCTCTCTGAGTCAAACCAGGTTCCTTTTCCAGCGGCCTTCCTGTCCTTGCTATGGACTTTCTACCTGGGGAATGGGCTGAGGGTAAGGATTACTTGTTACTTCCTGCTCCAGGGACCCCCTGAGGGTCACAGACACTTCAGTGTCCTGTTTCCATCCCAGAAATCAGGTGAGCTAATTTAGAGGAAATGAAACTGGCCTGCTGTCAGGTCACCATGATTGGACCGATGGCTCCAAAGTCCACGTCCCGAGACAGCCTAGAGTCCCATTGGGATCTGGACCCTGCACAACCTCAGGCCTCCTCCTTCGCTTCCGCATCCTCCTGACAGTCTTTACTCCAGCCACACTGAACTTCTGGTAGTCTTCCCCTTCATCATACTGTCCGCGGCCTCTCCTGTTTTAGCACCGGGATTCCCTTCCCTAAACTATCAGCATGTGCTGTGCTGTGTGATAATCCTTTGAGTGTTCCTTCCCACCACCCTCCTCATTCTCCACGCCTCATTAATCTCTGTCTGTAGCATCTGGCAGAAGTTTTCAGTGATGAATTCATGAAATGATGGCTGAACATCCAGGGGGGAATCTGTTAGCCCCAAAGGTCTGGTGAAAAACACGCCCACACATGAGGGTCACAGAGGAGCCTAAGTACTTTGTCCTCCACTGCCCTGGCGCTCCTCCCCTATTACACTGGGCCTTTCCTGATGTCTGTCATCTCTGTATTTTAGCCCCTGGCACAGTGCTCACAGGTTGCCAGTGCCGAGGACTTGTTGGTTGAATGCATTAAAAGGGTAGAAAGACCAGAGAAAAGAGCCAGCTAGCTGCTTCTCCAGTAAGTGCTTGTCGTTGGTACAAGAAGTAAACTGCATGAAATGATTCAGAGCTTTTTCCTGAGCTCAACACGGCATACCGATGTCTAAGGAGACAAGCAGAGCCTTCAGTCCACCTGCACAGTTGTAGAGTCTTGCACCATTAGAGTGCAGTTTGGGGACGCAAATCCTAGTTCCCAGTTTCTCCATTTACTAGCTGGGTCATCTTGAGCATTCCAGTCTGCCTGGTTACTCGTTTCCTCTGTGTTAAAATAACTTGGACTGGGTGAGCTCTAGAACTGTTTGTCGTTCTGAACTCTGTTGATTCACAGAGTAGGTAGCACTTCTAGAATCTAGGAAGATAAGTCCTCACGTAAAAGCGGAGCTCTGGAATTCTCTGCTGACAAAGCCAGAAAGAACAAACCAGTACGAGTTTACCTAAGTTTGCTCACCGGGGCTCTTTGGAAGCCTCAGCCTTCTTGGAATTGCTGAGCACAGAGTCCTGAGGTCAGAGCTGATTTTTTGCCACTTGATTCTTGATTCTTGATTCTGGTGCTATTCTTCCTACCCAGGTGCAGGGGAGTTGAAGCATGAAATTGTCTCTTGGGGTTTGCTTTCAGAAGTCTCCAGCCTCTCTCACCACATTCCAAGTATAAAGTTATAATATGAAATATACTCATCCAGACTACACAGTCCACCCACAGCCCCACAGCCCTGGCTTTCTCCAGAGATCCTTTGTGTGCCCTGGGAATCACACCCTCATCCCTAGTTGAGAATCCTCAGACCTCATAGGAAAGCCTGTTTGACCAATGTGGGGAAGCCAGGTCTTTGACTGTGTGTCTATTTTTCATAATCATTACTAGGAGAGACATCTCCTTAATCAAATAAATATCTATGGAGAGGCTGTCACGTAAAACTCTGTGGTATATTTCCTGTCCACAAATACATTAGTGCAGATTTTTCAAACTATAAGTTTTTCGTTACCTGAGGGTAAAATCAATATCAACCAACTTTTCTTTTTGTAGTGCAACAGAATAAAATTCACTCAGAGTGGTAGTAAACAGGAAAGAAAAGAAAAACTCCTAGTGCATGCCATCCCTAAAGACAGAGTATTATTTTTGCCATACTTTGTTCCAACCATGGATATATTCATAAGGCATCCCAGAGATAGGTTATTCTGGTTGTGGGAGTTTTTCTTTTCTTTTTTTCTTTTTTTTTTTTAAGTTTGAGAAACGCTGTCTTACTGAATGTCCAGGGACATAAAACTGGATTCTAGGAAACATCACATGGCAAGGAGAAGGGGGTGGGGTGCTGAAGGGGAGCCACATGTGTTGTTTTGAGTCTAAATACTGGGGGAAAAGGCATGATCTGGAATAGAAACTCAGTGCAGAGCATATAGGGTAGGAAGGGTTTGTGTGGGGAGAGACGGTGGAGCTGAGCAGTAAGAGGCTGAGAGGCTGTGAAAGAGTGAGTCAGGAGGTAGGGAGAGGCACAGCTGGATCACGTGCTATTTCTTCGCTTAGTTCTTGAGGAATCTCCATACTGGTTTCCATTGTGATTACACTAGTTTACATTCCCGCCAGTAATACAGGAAGGTTCATGGTTGTGGATAGTCTGAAAGAACTAAGGACTGCATACGATAATGATACATGCATACCCGTGTTTACAGCAGCACCATTCACAATAGCTAAGCTGTGGGAACAGCCTAGATGCCAGTCAACAAACAAATGGATAAAGAAAATACGGCAATGGAAATACAGTGGGCTGTTACTCAGCCATAAAGAAGAAAAATGAAATCAGGTTGTTTGCAGGAAAACAGAATTAGCAAACATGTTACATGTAATTAGCTAGAGTCTTTGAAATGGCTTGTTTTCTCTTATATGAGAGACCTAAAAATATATAAATTGATAAACAAGTAACTAAAATAAAGGAAAGATGACAGGATACCAGCAGGTAGTCTTTTGGAGTTGTAGAGGAAGAAGAAAGGGAGAGAGATTGTAACGGCATTGAAGATGATCAAGATACATTCAATGCGTGTACCAGTTTCCCAAAACAGACACCACCGTTCCGTAATACTAACATGCACTATAAAAAAGCAAAGGAGAAGAAGGCCTGGGGGTGTAGCTCAGTGGCAGAGCACATGATCAGCATGAGGCGCAGAGCTCAATCCCCAGCACCAAACAAACGGAAGAGACACAGCGTCCTGTAGTGCCTGTCAGCAGGACCACTCGGATTGCAGCCCTGCTGCTAGGATGAAACTCAGCTTGTGGTACCAGGGATTGAACTTGGGTCCTTGCACTTGCAAGGCAGGCCACCAAACCGCTGAGCTAAATCCCCGGCCCCTTAAGAGCGTTTCTGATCTCTGAATGTTCTATTTTATGATGCTCCAGTGTTTCCCGGTACAGTATCTTATCTCCCTGAGAAAATTGTTTTTAACGAGTTTTTTCAGCTCCTGGTGCAGTCTCTACATGTGTGAGACTCCCAGAATCTGTTTCTCATGGCCCAGTGCACACTTCTCTGCTGTCACCACACCCATTCTGGAAAGTTCCTCAGGATTTACGCTTCCTATAGCTGGACCATTGCTACTTCTGGGGATAACACAGGCTCTACACTGTCCCTCTCCAGCCTGTGTCTCCTGTACCTCTAGGAAGACGTCTCCTATGAGGAAAGAGCCTGTGAAGGAGGCAAGTTTGCCACGGTGGAAGTGACAAATAAGCCCGTGGATGAGGCCCTCCGAGAAGCGATGCCCAAGGTCATGAAGTATGTGGGGGGCACCAACGACAAGGGTGAGTGCCCCTGCAGGACAGGCCCTGGTCTGACAGGGCAGTTTCACATAATCTCACCTCACCTATAGGAAACATGGGAGCGGCGCCAGAAGGCACCTGTGACATCCTGCTCGCTGTCCCTTCGAGAACAGGAGTTCACAACAGGAAGCCCTGGAAAGAGCCCTCTGACCTCAGCCCAGGCTCCCCTCACTGTAAGGAATCCCTGTTGTATCACTCAGTTCATGGTTTTTTCCCAAGTATGGAGTCATCTGCTGTCCACATATGTATTTTTTTTTATTCTATTTTTGCCAGTACTGGAGTCTGAACCCCAGACCTTCACACTGACCTATATCCCAGACTTTTTTTAATCTTTTAATTTTTAATTTTGAGACAGGGTCTCACTGAGTTGCCCAGACTGGGCTTGAACATGAGATCCTCCTGCCTCAGCTGCCCAGAGTGCTAGGATTACAGGCCTGACCACTACACCCAGCTTGTCAATTTTTTTTTCTTTAACCTACAGTGTTTATTGTGTCTTTGGATTGGTTGATAGGATGAAGTCACCCACAGTAAACTGAGCCCCAGTATAAAAGCAAGGCCACCGTCCAACTTGGGACCTCAGCTGCCAGGGAACTGAGGCTCAGCGAAGCTCAAGTGTGAAGGTCCCAGACTCTGCTCTGCTAAGCAAAGGGTGTGAGAACTCTGACCATCCCACTCCTAAAGACTTGTCCGTGCTGATTGCTTCCCCACCTTTGAAATAATAGACCTGAAGTTTCATGTATCTGAGGGCGGGGATCAATGCTCCGGAGATCAGTCCTCCCACTGCCTAGAAAGCGGGGTGGCGAGGGCTAAAGAAAGAGACAACCGGGCCGGCGAGTTGGCTCAGTGGTTCTGCCACCTGTCTCGCAAGCGCAAAGTCCTGAGTTTGATCCCTGGAACGAGAAAGAGAAAGAGAAGGGAAGAGGGACGAAGAAAGATGAGAGAGACTTAGGTAATTTTAAAGTACGTGGGAGGCCAGGAAGTCAGTGCCTCAGCACGACAGAGACACATTCTGAGCTAGGCGCTATGTATTGGGTACACACAATCATTGGAGGGAGTATTGGGTGACTCTGGGCGGTGGAGATCCTAGGTTGATGAGGATCTTAGGTTGATGAAGGTGGTAAGGAGAGCTTCTCATAATACAAGGTGGGAGGAGATAGCAGGCTAATAAAGAATTTGTTCTTCCCCCAGGTGAAACCTTTCTGAAGCCTTCAGCTGATGGAATCTTGCCCTTGAGCATCGGGAACATTGAGGCCTCCATTTGTGACTAGAGGCAAAAGGGAGTTACATTTCTGTCTGCTATAGCCAGCTCAAGGGCAAGAAGACATGGGCCGTAGATAGTCCTAATCATAATTTAATTACAAAATGATTTTTTCCCAAAATTTATGTAGAATGTCTCTTGACATCATGAAAGGTCACCTGCTGGAACAGAAACCATATATAATTTTTTTTTTTTTTGAGGGGGAGTTACGAGGGTTCGATCTCAGGACCTTGTACTTGCCAGGCAGGTATAGCGCTACTGGGCTAAATCACTGGACATAAACTATTTTTAAATGCTGGCCTCTTCATGAGCTCTCTGATTTGTGCAGCATTTGGAATCACTACAAACTAAATATGGATCAGAAAGCTAGGTGAAAAAAAAAAAGATGGGCTTAATTTTTAGGATATTTCTCAAGCTGATAATTTAGAAAGAAACTGGTATGAACCATAGTAATATTTTCTAGGAGCAAAGTAATCAAATTTTGCAAAATATGTTGACCAGTAGGAAGTCAAGAGGAAATCTTTTCCTCTTAATGCTGTTTGTAACATCTTTTTAGTTGAAAATATGTATAAAAATTGTAACACTAAAAAAAATCATTAAAATAACAAAATAGCTATGTTTAGACTATTCTAAGTGCAGTCATTGTCTTTTTAACATATTTCTTTAGGGATTTTTAGTATAAACTTAATTGTATATTTTAATTCTATTTAATTATTTTCTACTAATACTAGAATAATTTAACTACATTATATTACACAGTGTACCCATAATTGCCTTAGACATATTTCTGTTTTATATATTTTTTGAGTTTTTTTGGGGGGGGGATTGTTTGTTTTTTGAGACAGGGTCTCAACTATGTAGTTGAGACTGACCTGGAGCTCACTATGTAGCCCAGGCTTGTCTCGAACTCAGTGATCCTCCTGCCTCAGCCTCCTGAGTGCTGGGATTACAGGCGTGGGCTACCACGCCCGGCTTTCTGTTTTAAACAGAATAATAAATTTTGCTGCAGTAAATATCCTATTACCTCTAGCCTTTTCTATATTTTATAGTATTTCCTTCAAATTGATTAAAATTTGTATTTACATAGGAAGTAGATATAGTATACACATATGTATACACATATAGATATATAGATATACACATATCTATATATAGATATATATGGAGGGGGATACTGGGAATAACTCAGGGCCTACTGAGCTATATCCCCAGCCCTCTTGATGTATATTAGCAAATAACTTTTTCAAGAAATCTACTACCACACTCCTACCTCCAATGTATAAAAATAATTGTTTTTATATGCCTAACTATATCTATATCTCTATATGTATAGATATCTAATAACAGATACAGAGAGAGAGAGATTTTGTGGTACTAGGGATTGAACCCAGGGCCTTTACACCAAGCTAAATTCCCAGAATTTTTTTGATTTTCTGGGGAGTTTTTTGGAGAAGATATCTCCAAATCACTAGGTTTCCCAGGCTGTGTTCTTACTGTTCTCCTCCCTCAGCATCCCAAAGTGCTGGAATTACAAGTGTGCGCATCACACCCACCCAGCTTGCCTGTATATTTTTAGTACCCAAAATGTTCACTGTTAACTTCAGGAATGATAACGAAAAGCCAGGGATTTAGTTCAGTGGTTCCTCCGCCTGCCTTGCAAGTGCAAGGTCCCAAGTTCAATCCCTGGTACCAAAAAAAAAAGAACAACAACAAAAAATGTTGCCATGGAAAAAGAATGAGACCAGTAGACCAGTATATCCTCCATGCCCTGAGCAAGCTCTGTCCCTAATCCCACTGCACTCTGTGTTTTGCATTGTCAGGAATTGGGATGGGGATGACAGTCCCTGTTTCCTTCGCGGTCTTTCCTGATGAGGATGGCTCTCTACAGAAAAAATTAAAAGTCTGGTTCCGGATTCCGAACCAGTTTCAAAGCAACCCACCAGTTCCCAGTGACGACAGCATCAAGATTGAGGAGAGGGAGAGCATCACTGTCTATTCCACGTAAGGGGGCAATTCCTTAGGCACCCGTGGGCGGCCCTGGGCTCCCACAGCCACTCCTTGAATCATCCTCAGTGAGATTTGCATTGGGTTTTTTGCTTGCTGCCAAATTAATTCAAGTAAGAAATACTGAATCCTGACAATCGTGTGTTTCTTGTTTGGGCCCCAGTCTCCCCTTCAGATACCAAGCCTCTTCTAGATGATTAGTGACTCCCTGTTTGTTAAAACCCTGCTGTGTGACGGTGACCCAACTAGGTACAGGGGATGACTAGGGTCTTCAGTACTAACCATTTGGTTCTGCTCTCGAAAATCCCCATGAAATGGAATTATACGAATAATCTTGTACTGGTCATCATTTTGGATATTTGGCTTCCCCCCTCCCACTCTGAGCCTGCAGGTGAGGGCGGGTTCCCTGGTAGCGCTTCCTGTGCCTTAGAACATGAGCTTGTCCGCATTTTTAGGCCAGGCAACCACAGAGCCCCCTAGCGGCTAGGGCGTGTAACGCAGGTGTTCAGCTGACTTCCGAGACTATTTTCCTGTGCTTCTTTCTACTCCAGTCCTCATTGGAGTTCTCAGCCTTCGTGCAGATGATGAGGAGAAAGCATACTCTAAGGGAGGCACCTAGGATTGAAAGCTTAAGGAAGTACTCACTCTCATAGTCATCAGAGTGCAGGGCGGGCCCTGAAGTGAGTGCCTCCTTGAATCTGCGCCTGTATGTCCGCTTGTCTTGCCTTCATTTCCGCTCAGTTTCCCCTTCTTCTTCCTGTGCTTTGAGAGGCAGCCCCGTGCCATGTGATGAGTATTTTATGTGCGATTACCCAGCTCCGCTGTTTGGTACCAGGAGGATGATGCTTACTAAGCCTCTTAAGACTTTAGTGCCTTCCCATTAAGTGCGGATAATATAATCTACCTCGTAGGATAATTTTTAAAGAGTAACAATGACATTAGGGTAATGATATTTAGTATTTACTACGATATCATTTACAAATTAATGTTTCTGACCTATAGTAGGTGTCAGTGATTATTCTTTCTCTTTGCCCCTTCCTATTTCATAAGGAGTGGGGTGACTGTTAAAGAAGTGTGAACTATTAAATCAGCTCACTTAAGACTTCTCATAGATGGGCCTGGTCTCTAATCATTTGTTCTATCAGATGAGGTGCACTAAGAAGTTGTTACAATTGTTTTGGTTTGTTTTTGTCTTTAACTTTCTGAATGGAAACTTTCAACTTAGAAGGAAGTAGGAAGAATAAGATGATGAAACCACATCTAGCCAGCACTCATCACTGACCCTGGATCAACTTGGGGAAGTTTTGTGTCCTGTGTAGATACCGCACCACCCTGGATTATTTTTAGGCAAATTCCAGACATCATATCATTTTGCTCATAAATGTTTTAGTGTGATGACTGAAGATTTTTAAAAATAGAATCACAATAATCTGCTCCTCCTAAAATTTTAACAGTAACTTGTTCACGTTTCAGTGATATAAAGTACCCTGTGTTCAGGTTTCTCCTGTTGTCTCACAGTTTGTTTGAATCTGTATCCAACTAGGATCCAACCATGGCACTGGTCAAGGCCTGTATAAGCTTTTATAATCCAGACCTTTCCTCACCACAGTGCCATCTCGCTTTTCCTTGCATTATATGAATCTTTGGTCCTCCTGTTTCCCATGGCCTTGAGTTTGCGGATTACATGGGTGGTTCTTTAACCTGTCCTCCTCTGTTGCCTGTACATTACTTCTTAGAACCAGGTGTGTGTTCAGATTCAGGTTTTAGGGTTTGTAACAAGACTGTTTCCTAGGTGGCGGTGTGTAGCCCACCCAGGCACATCCTGGCTGGTGACCTCTGTCCTTGTGATCAGAGTAAACAGAGATAATCCTTTCCTGGAGCTCGTGAAATGGGAATTTTCTCTGTTTCCGTCTTCATTGATCAGGAGTAATTCAGTAAGAAGTTTCCCTCATCTCCTGTTTGGTTCTGCCGAGGGAGAGTCAGAAAAAGCAAGATATAAATGAGGAATCTTGGCACACACCTGTAATTCCAGCACTCTGGGAGGCTGAGGCAGGAGGATTACAGTTTTAAGCCCAAAATGAGTGATTAAGTGAGTTAGTGCAACTCTATCTCAAAAATTTTTTTTAATTTTTAAAAATGTGAGGTTCAACCTCAAACAAACAAACAAAAAGCAAGATACGTGCTTAATGCCTTCTCTTCACTTACCAGTTTTCAGAAAAATAACTTCATTTCTTGACATCCTCCAAAAGTGAATAGGGTTCACCTTTGTTTTTTTGAGTGTCAACAGAAACAAATTTCAATATTCTTAATGTGTTTCCAGTTCTTTGCAATTATTACTCTTATTGCTGCTGAAATTTTCCCACACTGGCCAATGGTTCTTTAGTTATTTTGACCCAACTCTTTAGTAGCTTTTGTGTTTTCAAGCACATCGTAACTATTTCTTGCTGTAGAGCTGGGATCTGCCATTTCTGGGAAGTGATATCTATTTAAAAGATAGATTGAACCCAGATCTGTTGAAATTTCCTTTTGATTCTCTGAAATCAAGACTGATGATAATACCAAATTTGGTGTTTAGCCGGCTCTGTGAATTTTTTAACTTCAGTTTGATACAATTCTAACTTTATATGTGGTAATTCCTCAACCAGCCACGGGGTGTCACTGCACAGTCACACGTTCTATTAAAAGTCGCCTACAGTGATTTGTAGTATTTGATTCTGTTGAAGGGAGTAGTACTTCCAAGGTGATAGAAAGCAACAGTACTATTTCACATACGAAAGTATATTTCAAATAATGTAATTAGTGTATTCAATGACAGACCTAATTCTAAAATGAAAGCCTTGCGTCCTTAATTTAGTCTTTTTTTATGGCCTTGTGAAAAAAAATGCCTACAAAAGATTTATACATTTATTAGCAGCATTAATTACCAGCACTTTTTTTCTTTTTGTTTTGTTTTGTTTTGTTTTTGTGTACCAGGGATCGAACTCAGGACCTTGTTCTTGTGAGGCAGGCAGCGAACCACTGAGGTAAATCCCCAGCCCACCAGCACTTTTTAAATCAATGAAAATCTGTGGAAAACAGCACTATCAGAATACATTTTACTCTACTAACCCTGAGAGGCAGTAGAATTATGCTCACACTTAGGCCAAGGGTGACATTCTAGACTACTGTCCCCCCTCCGTGTTCTAGCAAAGTTCCATGCAGGTAAAGGCTGTGTATCTAGTACTGGGCTCTCAGCAGACCCACAGCAAGAGAGTGGGTGGCTTTACTGAAATTGTCACCATCTTAATGAAATTCTGAACATAGCAAAAAGAGTTGGGAAACCAAGAGTTTATCGTCAGAGTGGCCAGTGCTATGACCCAAACTGCCACTTAATGGCAGTAAGACCCCTGATGTGTTACCAGGCAGGCCTCTTGGTGCCTTGGTTTCCTCGTCTGTAAGGTGGATGAGATGGGTTGTGTCTGTAGATGCCCACACAGTGCTAGACATGAGGCAGACGTCAGAACATTTTAACCTATTCTCTTGTTTTTTAGTATATGTGCTGCTGAAGCGATCACTGTTCTCTTCTTCTTGATGTCACCTCCTGCTGAGAGTTAACATTTTATTAGAAAAACAGCAGCAAAAAAGTCAAGAGTACAGTAGATGCACTTGGTTTCAACCCTCGATTTTAATAACTGCATGCTTTACAACTTCGGGCAGCTCATTTAAACTTTCGGAACCTCACTTCCCTTATCTATAAGAATAGGACTTCCAAGGCACTGTGGTGAGAGCCAGTGCAGTCATCCTTGTGGGAGAACCTGGCCAGCTATGCGTTTCTTGAATTTCGGGGTCATTTCTCCCTTTGAGTGACCTAACGGAGGCCCCCAGCGCTTGGGAAGTTTGAGGTTTGGAAGGAGCCCATCCCCTAAACCACTGAGGGCCCCTGTGTTACCCCTTAAGAGATCTGCAGACCAGTGTGGGCCCAGGTTCCTAGCTAATTCCAACACCAGCACTGTAGGGAGTTTGGCCTGAGAGGTGACTGGTCCTACTCAGCCCCTGCTTGTTTTTCTCTCTCACTTCAAACTTAAATAGGCCTAATGTGACCATTCTGTCAAAAAGAATATCCTGCTCTTTTCTGTTTCTTTGCTCTGCTTTATTTTCCTTCCTACCTCTCCTCTCCCCTGCATTATATACCGGTCTGTTCGCTTGTTTACTGCCTTCTCCCCAATTAGAATGCAAGCTTCCTGGGGCAGGGCTGTGTGCTAGGATCTAAAAAGGACCCAGGAAACGTCCTTTCTGCTGCTGCACTCTGTCCCCTAAAAGTCTTGGTCCCCCACCATGGCTTCAGCTGTCGCCCATCTGTTGGTCCTGAGGTGATGAATGGTTTCTCAGTCCAGCAAACTTAACCTGGAGACTCAGGTGAAGTCGTTCATTCATTCAAGCGATGGACTCATTGTTCACTTACCTTCAACCAGGAACAGTTTGGGCGCTGAGCTTAAAACAAAAAAATGTCTCTGCCCTTTGAAGCAGGAAAAATATCCTATGTAGGAAAAACGGGAAAAAAACAAGTATGTCAAGGTGGCTAAGGACTGTTTTACCAGAGAGAGAACTGTTGTCCACATTTTTGAAATCAGGAGAAGGCAGACTAATTCAAAATCAAAAGCCCTGCGACCAACTGTAAAATGGACAGAGGCTGAGGTCACGAAATCCTTGTCCCCAGAGAAGCTCCAGCGGCGTCTGTATAGGCTCACGACGCTCTGCTGGATCCTGCTTGGGAGGTTGGGAAGTTTGTTCCATCTCACAGATGTTTACCGATTGCCTCTAGTATTTAAGCCCCCTCATGTCTAAAAGCCTTGGCAGTGACAAGAGTCTGTATCTAAAACCTAGTCGACCTCCGTGTCGTTGCCCCTACATCCACCCCTTGTGTCCCGGTCCTTCACAGGACTTCTGTCACCGCCCAGGTCAGCCCTCCCAGAGCCGCCCTTCCTCCCCAGCCTTGCACCCCAGCTGCTGGGAGGCTTCACCACCGGCATCTCCCCAAGTAGCTCCACATCCCCGAGGCCCCAGACAGAAGTCAGGGTTCCTCCCCGTTCTCATCCCTTCCTCTGCCCCCGCCTTTCTTACGTTCCCCTCCATCCTCCTGCCCACCTGGTTCTAATGCTCTGACTCTTTCACTGTCTACTTCTAATTATTGGCCCGGTCCTGTCACCTCCCCACTGCCCCTTCCTTCCCTGGCCCCGTGATGGCTTTCCAGGTCTCCCACTACTGCCTCTTCTGAATGATCCTTTTGCAACACCAGCCGAAAAGCACGGGACCCGTTGTGTCACCTCTCCCTGCTCGGACACTGGGGCCACCCGGCTGTCCCTGTGGTTGTGGCCCTGACCTCCCTGCGTGCACGCTGGGACCACAGCCTGGGCTGGTAATGAGGCACTCGTTCCCCTGAGGAGAGAGGTGGCGCAGCGGGGCTCCCTCTGTGCTCCATCAGGCAATGAAGCCGAGTGAAAATGCCCACGAGGCTCAGTCCTCCTGTGCCTGCACCTCAGCATCCCAGCCCTCCGCCCAACCTCTTCCCGACCCTTGCTCAGAGCCCCAGCTCCTCTCCACCCCGCCCCTCTCTCTGCTTCTCGGAAGTTCTGTGCGGACTGAGTCCTGTCACGCTGCTCGTGCCGGCGTCAGGAAGAGACGCTCAGCCCCTAACTGCTTAGTGTCCTGTCCTTCATAACCGTTCCCTGTGTCTTCCCAGCCCTAGCCAGGGTCCCCTGTCCCTGACATTCTCCTGAGCCTTCTTTCCGCCTCCCCAGCCGTGTTCCCTTCTGTCCATCAGAATCCCCATGCACTTCGTCCCTGACGTCTCTGGTTGGACCTCGAAGGGGTAGAAACACATCCCGTGTCATCTCTGTGGCTCCCGGGTGTCCGGCCTGTGCTCTGTGCCCAGGGCTGTCCCACTCAGTAGCACTGGCTCCGTCTGGCTGATGAATGCCACGTTGTCAGGCCCCTGCTGCTGGGTGCGACTCCGACCCTCTTTCTGCCTCACACACGGCTGTGCGCCGCTGACTCTGTGCACATTGGTGCCGAGGTCGGTTGCTAAAGTTTTAGACAAAGTTGGACAGTCACATTCAGAGTCACTCTGTTTGGCTTCCTCCCTCCCTGCGTGCTGGCACCAGCCACTTCTCGGAAGACAACACGTTATGAGTTGTTGCCTCCTTGCACCAAAAGCCTTCCTCTTACACCCTTTGTGCCTACGTTATCTCACCACCACCACCACCACCACCTCCTTACTCTCCCAGCCCTTTCGAGTCGGCTTCTTTTGGGGTTTTAGAATCCTCTGTGTGTGTGTGTGTGTGTGTGTGTGTGTGTGTGTGTGTGTGTGTTTCTTCCCATGATAACCAAATTTTTGTTGGGACGTTTACTGAGATAAAACACAGTGCCCTGGAGAACGGCTCCTTTGAAGATGGGAGGTGGAAACTTCTTACCAGGCTTGGGGAAATCATGTACAAAGGAATATGTTCCTTTCCTCGTAGGAGCTTGGAGCACTGTAGGAGCATTCCTTAAACTCAAAGGCACTCTGGAGTTGGGAGGCTGGGGACCCGTGAGTGCTCCTCCCAGTGGCTGGGGCAGGAGGAAGGAGGAGGCTCTCAGCTGTGACCACAGGCTGAGTCACTGTGCCCCATCCCAACAGAGGGCTGTGCTCCTTCCTGCTAGGATTTGGTTTTCTGGTCAGTTAGTGCGGCTCTGTGATTGGGGCTAGGGTGAGTTCATTCATTGAGCAGCAAAGAAGACATCCACATGTCTGTGTCCATAATTTTCCCAGCTTTATTTGCTTTCTAGCAAAATGCTTGTGTGATGAAGCAACAGGAAGATGTTTGTCTTTGTTGCCAGCATCTTAATCTGCCTTGGAGTAAATATAAACTTACTGCAGGTCTTTTTCCTTTCCTTTCCTTTTTCTTATGCAGTTTCTGGGGATTGAAAAGGGGCCTAGTGCATGCTAGGCAAGCACCCTACCACTCTAAGCTACATTCTCAGCCTTTTTTAGTTTATTTACTAAGTTACCCAGACTGGCCTCCAGCTTAGCAATCCTCCTGCCTCAGCCTCCCAAGTAGATGGGACTACCATGCCCAGTGAAATGGGGCTTTCTAGTACTGAATTTTAGGAATCCTAAATCGTCCTCCCTGGCACTCTCTGCTGAGTCTCCCACTTCTCAGACCCCCCTTCTCAGTGTCCCTGCCAAGGCCACCCTCAGGTGCTTGAATTCCCAGCGTTCATCTTCTGTGGTTCGCCTCATTCCTCACCGTGACTCCAGCCAGGACTGGAGAGGTGGGACACCCGAGTTCTGTCACCACATCCACTGCTTTCGCAGTGTCCTCTCTGACTTCAGTCCTTTACCAAGGCGGAGGAGATCCGCAGCCTCAGGTGCACATCTGGGTGCTGAATTAGCAGTCAGCCCAGAATGTGTCCGTGCGCCCCAGACCCCGTCCTGAGCACCCCTATGGAGCAGCCCCCACTTTCCAGGGCTGCCCTTTGGCCCTCGGCCTCTGTTCTAGTTAGGGGCCTAGGGGAGTCTCCCCTCTCCCCCTCTCCTGCTCTCCACATCCATGGCTGTTCTGTTCCCAGTCCTCCCTGGCTCCCCACCACTCCCACGGTCCCGGACCCTCCGCTGCGACTGGGGCCTCTTTCCGAACCAATCTGATCTTGCTGGTCGCCTACTTTTAAACCTTTCCATGGTTTGAAAACTCCTCAGCATGGCGTTCACGGCCCATCTCTGTCTGGTTTCTTTCGATCTGCTTTTACCCCTCACTCCCACTATCCTCTTTGGAGCACCACCACACCCAGCTTTAGAGATGATTTAAATTACATAGGAGAGAGCCGGGGATTTAGCTCAGTGGTTCTGCCATACGCCACACACACGCAAAGTCCCGAGTTCAATCCCTGGTACCAAATAAATAAATAAATAGATTACACAGGAGGATATGCATTGGTTATATGTTTCCCATAAGGGAATGGAGCATCTAGAAACTTTGGTGTCCCAGTGGGTGGGGAGGTTCTGGGAACCAATGCCCATGGATACCAGGGATGACTGTGATGGTCACAGTCCCTGCTTGCTGTAATTAGCTACATGACGGCCGCTGGGCTGAGCAGTTCCCAGTCTTGTCTCCTTTCATCTTCCCCACAGCCTTCTGAGATCGATGCTTTGTCATCATCTCTGTGTAACAAAACCAGTGACCCAAAGAGCCCAGAAATTAAAGAACTTGCCCATCCCATGAGCTGGAAAGTAACAGCGAAGATTCGAGCATACACGCTACCCTCTCTACTGTCCACAGTCAAGCGCCACTCCTTTGGACCTTTCCAAAATCAGTAGATAACGAGCTGGCTGGTATTGCCCTTGTCCCCGAGAACACCAGCTCCCACGTCCGTCTTGAGACACTCCTGACAGGTGGCTCTCAGTCTAGATGCGCTTTGTGAAAAACACTAACATCCTATGGCCTTTTATGGCTGGAAAACTGCTTCCAAGCTGTTCAGCCTCTGTCTGCTAATCCTGTGTGCCCCTGCCCGAGCCTTGAGGAAGCCAGAGCTCAGCGTTCCTCATCTGCCCTGCAGTCTTTCCTCTGGATTTGAAGAACCTGTGAACTGGTGTCCGCTTCACGCCCTGATCTGGAGCCGTGGCCAAGACAGGATGAGAATAACCAGTCCTTCGCGGATGAAGTCCTGGGTGTTTTCACGTCGGTGACCCCATAATCAGCGTGCCGAATGCTTGCCAGGCGTGACAAATGGCTTGTAAAAGAGCAAAGCATGATTCAGAGAACGCCACCAAGGATCATGCACTATTTGGCCTCATCTTGGCCTGGTGTAAATTCAGACTTTTGAGTCATAAAGCTCGTCGGAAACGCGGGTGTATTCGGCTCTAATAAAGATTTTAGTGCAACTCAGATTTAGAGTGGTATATTTAGGCTGCAGGATGACTGTGGTGCAGAGGCAGATGATGTAAGGGAAGGAATAATCTCCAAATAAAGGTTTTGATTGCTTCTCTTTCCCTAACTTCTGCCAGCAGGAGAATTGCCTGATTTAGAAAAAGTCTCTTTTCTTACTAGGAAAGGAAAATGTTCATGATTTTGGGCAGGAGAAGAGATGCATTAGAAGGGGTTTATTTGGGGGGCTATGTAACGCTTGTGTGGGGTCCCTTCTGAGACTTCTTGGGTCCTTGCCTCTCTTAGCTCTGACGTAACAAAGCTGCCACACATCCTTCTGGGGTGAGCACAGTTGCTCCGCTTTGGGAGAGACTGTAGCTCCTCCCTCTCCTACTTGTCCCTCCTTCCTGTTGGCGACAGAGGCCAGAGAGGACCGGGCAGGTGGTGGAACGGGTTAAGTGAAAACAGTGGGGAACGGTGGCCTGGGGAACAGCTTACCATCTCTGGGGAATTGCAGATAAGGGGAGCTCACATTTAGGATGTGACTGTTGGTTTCAGGCCCTGGCATGATTATAATTTTTTACCTCTGTTATTTCAGGTAATACTCGTTACTTTGGAACAAAAGGAAAACGCATGGCATTTTTTTACAGCTGTTCAGAGAAGCTCAGAAAGGGCAAATCCACCCATGTGGGACCATGGCGAGTCCACAGTGCTGCCATTCTGGCGTGCTTGTTGGAATGAGCGTGGTGATGACTCTGAAGACTCCTCCTCTCTCAAGGCCAGGTCCTTCCTTACCAGCCCTTGCTCTTGTCTCCTCAGGCAGTTTGGTGGCTATGCCAAGGAGACAGACTACGTGTCCCAGGCCAGGCAGCTGCGTGCCGCTCTGGAGGGAACGGCCACCTGCCGCGGTGACCTCTACTTCTGTACAGGCTATGATCCTCCCATGAAGCCGTATGGACGCCGCAATGAAGTCTGGCTGGTGAAGGCATGAGTGACTCGTGGAGCCAAGAGCCTCCCTCCCAGAAGTGGGCCTCAGTGCCCCCTGACACGGGGTTGGCAGGGGCCAGAGCGTCTCGAGTTCCAGCTTCCCTTCCAAGTCCATCACCACTGGGTTTTCTGAAATAAGCATGTTGCATACACCGAGGGTCTTTTTCTTGTGGTAGGAAATAATACAGTCAAGCTAGGCAGCATCGTTCTCGTTGATTTAGAAAATTCTGTGACAGATCAGAAAAACAGCAGTATTTTTCTCAGCCACTTGGGTCGCTGTAAACTGATTTTTTTTAAATGATCGAATTTGTATTTTTGTGGCGCAGTATATGATTTGTGCAGTCTTTCATCTGTGATTCTTATAAAAGCTCTGTCTAAAGGAAACCAGAAATAAAAATCTTTGACTTAAGCACCCAAGACAAATCCTAAGCATAATTAAGCAAGGCTCTAGGGCAGTGATGGCGAACCTTTTAGAGCTGTGAATGATACAAACGAGCTGCTGTGGCACACGTGCTGTAGGTTCGCCACCCCTTGTAGCTGTGGGTACTGCTGACATTAGTCTCCACTGCAGGAGTCCTGTGTCGGGGGTTCCAGAGGCCCCAGGGAAGAAGGGTGCACTGCATCCTTCACCAACTCCCAGCAGACATTTACTGTGACTCAGGGCATCCATGGCCATCAGGAGGTGATGATCACATCCACACCTGAATGTATCCCTGGAGGGTTCCAGGAGTTACAAAAGCAGACTTAGGAGAAAAATCACAAACAGCCCCGCAGGCAGGACATTTGCCAGGAGGATTTATTCAGTCTGGTGAGGTGAGATCAGAAAAGGCTAAGTGAAAGCTGGGTGTGGTGGTACACACCTGTAATCCCAGTACTAGGGAGGCTGAGGCAGGAGGACCACTGTGAGTCCAAGACCAACCTGGGCTACATAGTTCCAGGGCAGTCTGAACTATATAGTGAGACCCTGTCTCAAAAAAAAAAAAAAAAAAGTGGGAGGGCTAAGTGAGAGATGGGAGAAGCGACATGTAGCTTGGGCTGCAAAGAAGGGAAGAGGAGGCAAGGATGTGGAGGGAGGGGTATAGAGGAGCTTGGGGGTGCGTGAGCACAGTGGGTCCCAGGGCAGGGAGAGGGTGTCCGATCTTCATGGGGTGTGCCCGGGCCTGGCCTGTCAATAGCCCCACCAGACAGTGGCGATGATCCTGCAGAAGAAACCCACCGCAGACCCATCTGTACTTGGCGAGTAGAGAGGGTTCCGTTGTAGGGAAGAAACAGAAACCTGAGCTGTAGCCTTCACCACCAAGGGCTCAGATGGTATCAGGGAGGCTCCTGCGGGGCAAGGAGAGCTGCCGTCACCTCCCCTGGGGGCTGTGGCTGTTTCTGAAGATTCCCAGGCTCACACCACCCGACACACAGACACAGGCACAGCGACGGTCCCCACAGTTGTGAGGAGGCCCAGGTTCCCACAGCCTCACACTGAACTCAGGACTGAGACAAACATGCAGCCACAGGGGCCTCGGATGTGCCAAAGGGTCTGAATTTGTTCCTAAGAAGAATTAAAAGCATATGAGTGGCTTTGAGCAGGAAACTGACTTCATCTTGTTTTGGAAGGAAAATTCTGTCCAGGGTGCAGAAAATGGGTGAAAAGGGGTGTGACTAGGTGCAAGGTGACTGATTAACAAAGCTAAGTAAAAGATGTTGGTATCTCAGCTAGAGTAATGCAGTGTGGATGGAGAAAATGAACCGTTTGGAGCAAGAGGTGGGGTCTTCAGGACTTGGTGACTGATGGTGAATGACATGAGGGAGAAATACTCAGGGGGGCCGACATGTCACCCCAAGTATGCCATTTTGGAAAATTGATTATTTCCAGCTGAAGGCAGTTGAGAAACAACAGGAAAGGCCTCTCTCTCTCTCTCTCTCTCTCTCTCTGCCCTCCCCTTTCCTACCAGAAATCAGAATATAAATTTCCCCTGAGAAAACTGCTCACCTTGTACAACAAAGGGGGAGAACATCTTTATCCCCAGAGATGAGGAGTTAACGCCAAGATGAGTCTGTACAATCTTAGCAATGCAACCTTTATCTTCCATGAGTTCCCCCATACGTGTCCTAGGCACTTTCCCACAATTTTCCAAGCCCTTTGTCCTTTGTCTTATCCTGTCCGCATAATTTATTGTTCCTTGTTAAAAGCGTGTATGAGAGCCGGAGATTTAGCTCAGCGGTTCGGTGGCCTGCCTTGCAAAGGCAAGGACCCGAGTTCAATCCCCGGTACCAAAAAAAAAAAAAAGAAAGAAAGAATTTCATATGAACCCTTGATCTACTTGCTTCTTTCTATGAAGCAGCCTCCATGCCATATAAAAAAAGATTAACATGAGATAAAAATTCGTATGCTGTTTGTCCTGTGAATCTATGTTTAGGCAAGAGCAAGGAATGACAAAGATAAAAACAAAATGGCCAGGAGTAGAGGAGAAATGTCCGAAAACCATGCTCCCCTGAGCTTCTCCCTCAGCCTCCTCCTTGGTCACCATATTCCCACTCCTATCCCCCTTTGGTCTATTTTCTATGCAACATCCAGAAAGATCTTTGCTTAAAACTCTCATTTTGCACTTAGACTAAAATTCCAACTCCGCTTCACAAGCTGCAGGGCCTTGTATGAGCTCACCCCTGACCACTGCTGAACTCCTCTTCTTCCTAACCAGCCTCCCTGACTGTCCTCAGCCTTGGATATGCTGAATCCTTTTCTGCCCTGGGGACCTCACAGTAGCTGTACCCTCTTTCCCTGAAAATAAGGCCTAGGTGGAAAACAAGCAGCCTTGAAAACTGGAGATCAAAAATGCCAGCCCTGATCAGCCTATCCTTGTCTTTCGTACCATCACTACTCTTGCTCAGTGGCCACTCTGTAAGGCAGGTGAGGCCAGGATAGACTGGCTGTGCCTGGAATATTTTATCTCTAGTTCAAGGCTGATTATTTTCGAGCTAGGTCTTATTTTCAGGAAAATACAGGTTGTTCTCTATATAGCATCATTTTTTTTCTCTCTCTCTTAGTAACACAAACCACCAGTTGTAGCTTTTGGACTTGGTCATTTCCTTTCTTCTGCCCCCCCTCCCCACTCAATACAAGTTTTTTAAGAAGAGGCCCATACCTGCTTTGCTGTCCTGTACATACCTCAGCTAACTCAGAGACACACCATTTAGAATTGCACTAAGCTGTAACAGAAAACTTAACCGACAATAACTTACATCTGGAAGGTTTTCTCACGTAGCAAGAACTATAGAGGTAGGTTTGGTGGCCTTGTGTTGGCATCTCTGCAATTGTCTTGCTCTTCCCCCTCAGGACAGCAAAATAGCTGGTACAGCTCCTGCCGCCACATCATGTTCAAGGCAGGAAGAGGGGAAAAGGAAGAGCCATTATAGCATTTCTCATCTGTCCTAATATATGAAGAAACAAAAGCTTTTCCAGAAGTTTATCTATCAGAGTTCCAGTTGTATCTTATGAGCCGGAACTGACATACAGGGCCACCTATACCTACAAGGAAGGTAGAGAAAGTGTGTGTATGGGTTTCTAGGCTCTAGCATGGGAAGCAGCAAGGGAGATGCATGTTCAGAACGGCTCTGGGTAGCTAACCGAGGAGACAGTGGGTGTCCCTGGGGCCAGAGTGTGGGAGGTGGGAGTCAGCGGCGGGACCAGATGAGGCCATACTGTAATTCTCCATCTCACTGCGGAGTAGTGCACAGCTCCTGGGCGCTTTGGTGCTCCCCTCCCAGCGAACGCTGCCTGCCCATCACTCTTCTCTCCCTTTGGTGAAGCCAAAGCAGGGGCTCATACATGGTCAGAGAGAAGGGAGCAACGGTTTCCAGCCACCTGTTCCATGCTGAGGACACAGGGGCAACAGGAGGATGATAGTGATTTCAGGGAAAGGGGGACGAGGGCTAAGGAAATAAAATATGTACTCCCATCTTGGATTTAATAACGAAAAACAGAATCACAGACACCAGAGTTCCTAACTGCCAACCTGTGACTAGTAAAGCAATCTTTTCCCTGATTCCCACCTACCCTTATGTCAAGATCTTTCCCAAAACAGAAGCTGACATAAATCCCCCCCGGGCTGTCACCTAGCTGCTCCTCTTCCTGGGCCCTGGAGCAGAGCAGATGGCTAATGTTTCAGATCACTGCATAGCTGAGTTGGGAAATTGCCAAGAGGAGAAGAGGGTGAACCCTTGACTTACGAACTCAATTTGTTCCCAAGAGCTGGTTGTAACTCAGGTTGGTCAAATGAAGGCTCAGGCTCCTCTACACGACCTTCGAAGTCTCTCCTGTACACACGGGTCCAGGACTTCTCAGTCAGCCCCACACAGGAAAGGATGCTGTCATGTTCCTTCCAGAACTCTTTGAGGGTTAAATCTGTATCTGAGACCATTTGGAAGCACAAGCAGCCAGCACTCAGGTCACAACTCATGACCTGGGTCATAAGTTAAAATTGAAATTCTTGTCGTAACTCAAGTTGTTCACGTCAGGCCGGTCGTAACTCGAGGGTCCACTGTACAGGCATCAGTGTACACCTAAGCTGTGCTGTAGTTCTACCGCCAGGGTCATGGCCTCAGGGCT